ATCGTGAGGCACAAATCCAGTTTCTGTTTGGGATTTGTGTGGCTTAACAAGCAGATTTCCCCCATGTGATAACATCCCTACAGATTTTGTAATATGGTAGTCCTGAACATACCCCTGAAGCAAACGGCACCTCATCATATCCAAGAAGCAAGGCAGATATTCTCGGGTCAACATCCAGCGTAGCGGATCTGGCAAAAGTTTTAGCTGAGCATTACACATTATTCCTATGTAACTAACCTGGGAATAAATCCCATTAGCTACAGTGGCCCTTCTTTTTGACTGTACAAGCTGAGGTTTACAATGTTAATCCCTCTTACTGAAGGTTGCCAATTTTTGCTTTTTTTTTTTTTTTTAGCTTCACTCCTGGCCCAAGAAATAGCTCTGTTGATAAGCAGAAATTCAGCTGATTAACTAAGGAAGCTGCCTTCTATCAGTTTGGAGCATTCATCCATCAATCTGGTGTTGGCCATTCTGACTGGCTACTGCTTTCCATTTTCTGTATCAAGCAGGGTTGTTTCCTATCCTCCGCTGTGTGGTCCTTTTACTGGAGATGGGCAAAGAGAGAAGCTGGTTTTCTGCATGCAAAACATGTACTCAATCAACTGAGCCACAACCACTTTCACACAGGGTGGGATCTTCATCTCCAGGAAAACATTGCCTGTAAGATGTCTGTTTATCAGAACAGTGGCTGGGTTACTGGGCTCTAATGTTTTCTTCAGATCATCATCCCATCTCTTGACAGGTAAGGGTCCCTTCTTCCCTTTTGATCACATTATCTAGAGAGCTGTTATCCATCCAAGTATGGAAAAAGGTCAGTGCACTTTTACTGATGGCTGTCAAATACACTTATTCAGGTTTGGGTGGGGATTCCTGACCTAGCTTGCTTTTATGTTTTTAAAAGTTTCCTGAGTTATAGGCTGTTGTTGTTGTTGTCTGCCTTCAAGTTATTTCCAACTTATGGCAACCCTAAAGCAATCCTATTTTTTATGTTTTATCTCTGAGCTGCCTTGGGTCCCTCTGGGGAGAAAAGCAGCATATAAATGACATTAATAATAATAATAATAATAATAATAATAATAATAATAATAATAATAATAAATCCTATCATGTATTTTTCATGGCAAGATTTGTTCAGAGAAGGTTTGCCATTGCCTTCCCCTGAGGCTGAGAGCATGTGACTTGTCCAAGGTCTCCCAGTGGGTTTCATGGCTAAGAAGGGAATCAAACCCTGGTCTCCAGAGCCATAGACCAATACTCAAACCACTATGCAACAAGCAAGCAAAACCTTCTGGGATATAGAAATAAACAATGATTCTTCCCAAATATCTTTAGCTCTAGTAACTGTTAAAAGGTACAAGGGCCAATTTTTTTAAAGCTATCAATTTGCATGTAGCGATTCTATCAATTATAGGAAGAAAGTTTTTAAAAAATTGTTGAGATAACATATTTTTTATTAATTTTGTGAAACATCCTGATGGATATGTGTAGCAATATCACCTACAACGATAGTAAGGGGATGTTTGAGATTTCAACTCCCAGAAGTCCCAATCAGAATAGTAGTGGCAGGGGGTATTAAGGGAACTGGAACTTGGGGAATTTTCAATATTAGCTCAGATGAATAGCGGGAGGCATACCCTATTTATACGCAGGGGGAGGAGATAGAGAACCCTTGCAGAGACAGAATTCTTCCAATGAATTGTACTTTTATTGAGGGGAAAATAAATTAGCAACACACACACTCATGCACACACTTAATCTATGGACTATTAGAAGGGTTTCAATGATGAAATTTGATTTGGTCCCTAAGTGCATGAGCTGAGAAAATCAGCTCATTATGTTTGTGACAGGTTGTGCCGGAAATGACCAAAGTGTAAAATCTTCATAAGGTGCAATCTACAGACTTCTATAATAACAGTATTTGGAGGATCAAGAAATGCTGGGGGAAATGTGTAAATCTGGATGGTAACTACAAAGAGATAACAACTACAAATCAAAACAAACTTTCTGTCAAATTTTTAAAAAGATGATGATTAAAACTTTATAATACCCCATCGTACAGAATCGGACCATTCTGCTTCTCCATATTCTATTCAAACCAGGTGCTGTATTTCAGAGGAAGGAACTGGCAAAACCACCTCTGAATCTTCATCTCCTAAGAAAATCCTGTGAAATTCATGGGGTCTAATACCAAAGAAACACAGGAGGGGCTCCGCAATTTTATGCTAGGCATAAAATTAATGGGGTTGCCATAACTTGACAGGCAACTTAGGCTGCATACACTGCAGAAATAATCCAGTTTGACACCAGTTTAACTGCCTTGCCATGCAGGGCAATTGGTTATCATAACTGCAAAGGAGGGCAAGGCACCACAAAATGTAGGGCCATTCAAGGAAAATGTAGGGCATTATAAAATAAAATTAAAAAGATGAGATTAATGCTTGTAGAATTCAAAGATATATAGCCGTATTAGTCTGCAGAATCAGTAGGTAGAGAGATCTTGGAGCGCCTTTGAGACGAACTGGAAGGAAGAAGTTGGCAGCAGGAGCTTTCCTAGACTGAAGTCTACTTTCTTCAGTAAATGCATCTGAGGAAGTAGATTTAAGTCTATGAAAGCTCATGCTGCCATCATCATCATCATCATCATTATTCAAAGATATAGCCGTGTTAGTCTGTAGAATCAGTTGGTCGAGAAAATCTTGTTGCACCTTTGAGACTCACTGAAAGAAAGAAGTTGGCAGCAGGAACTTTCCTAGACACATCCCAACTTCTTTCTTTCAGTGAGCCTCAAAGGTGCTCCAAGATTTCTCTCATTCATGCTTCTTAGTCATGCTCAAAATGGAGGACATTTTGAAATTTCTCCTGGAGAGAAGGATGAGATGGAGGACACATCCTAGAAAAGGAGGACGCCTGGTCACCCCTAATGCTACGAAAGCCTGGGAATTGCAGCTTCTTGTGGCACCACAGCTCTCTGACAAGGAATGCTAAATGTCTCACAAAACTACAATTCCCACAATTCCATCGCTTTGGCCATGTCAGTTAAAATGGCGGTCACTCTGGGTTATTGCCGCGGTGTGGCTGCAGCCTATCAAGGAGGAAGAGAGCGGGGGGCGGGCCTTATCCCCCATACTCTGGAATGATTGGAGGAGACGTGTGGAAAGGACTGGGCAAAGGAGGCGGGGCCAGAAGAGAACGGTTTTAACCTCCCTTCCCAACCTCTTTAACAGCTTGGATGTGACTGAGGAATTCCATAAAGGGCCGTTCTAGTCTTGCCCGTGGGTGGACGTCTACTTCCGGTTGGCGGGGTTCTACTTCCGCACAGCGCTGGCGGTGGGTTCCAGGGACGGTGAGTGCCGCTTCCTCGCGTGAAGGAGCGAAGCCGCCATTTGGTGTGTCGCTGTCCTCCTTGGTTCAGGTTGCGATGCC